CTACTCATATACTTACTAGCTTGCAATAAAGCTAGTCCTGATCCCTAGACCTACACCCCGAAATCTCGAATCCCTAGACCCCTAAACTGCCCTAAACCCTAAAACTTGAACCTTAAACCCTAAGCCATCCTCGCCCAGGCGTACCGCACCCCCGAGAGCCCTGGCTCCTCACGAGAAGCAGTCCCTGGAGGAAGAGGATGACGATGATGAGGAGCGACCCCGCTAAAGACCCAAACTCTGAAGCCTGTACCAAAAACTCCAAACTCGAAAACCCCAACCCGAGCAAAGCAATCCACGCCTGGGTTTCGGAGGAGCCGGACAACGAAGACGAGGAGGACTGATTTTGGAGTCACACGGCAGCAATATTCGTGGGAAGGGTGGGGCACTCGAGTAGAGCAATTAGAGTGCTGCATGAGTCCTGACTGAGTTTCGATCCATCAACCACGGAACTTTCCACGCACGGGTCCTGCCCAGGTGCAATTGGCACGAAGCAAAGGCAGCTGGCAGCCGGCCGGTCAGCAGCTGGATCCTGATTTTGGGGAACTCTAAGTAACCCCCTTAAGAGCCTTTAACCCCTTTACCTTTTACCTTATCCCAACCCTTAAACCCGGAACCCTACATCCTCAGCCCCACAGGTGTTCGCAAATAGTGGGTGAAAGGTTTTGCCTTGGGACTTCTCGGGACTTCGTAGACCCGTGTGGGGCTCGAAACAAGAAGAGCTTCTTCTGCAAACACATAATGTATATATATCTATCTATCTATCTATCTAACTATATCTTTATCTATATCTCCCGCTAGATATATATATATACATACACACACATAAACACCTAGGCAAACAAAGAATACCAAAGTTGAGGCCTCCATCCTTGAACTCCCGATGCATAACTGTGTGGCTCCGGGGAAGATAGTCTTCATTATAGGGTTCTCGATGGAGTAGCAGTGAAACTCAAAACTCGGGCCCACAACATATTATATGTCATCTGCTCCAGCCAAGGCAGCTCGCCCCGTGGCCGCTGATGATGAGTGGCAACTGATCCTTTCCTGGTGTGCCCTGTGTGAGTCCGGGGCCCTGAAGACTAAGCCTTTAAACCCCTATAAGCCCCAACCAGCTGGGTCTGAATCTTGCAGCCACAAGCACGACCGCAAGGCCGACAGGCGGCCCCGGGACCCGCAATATCTACTAAACCATAATTGAAAACATATGTCGATCTACTACTGGGGCCAGTATAGAGTGGACACCAGGCTCTGGAGCTTCATATTTGCTTTTAGTGAAGTCCCTTGCAGCCAGAGCCCGCAGCACGCAGTGGTCGCATCGAGGGCTCCGCCTGGATAGCTCTTCAAGCTAATAACCATAAGCCCTAAATCCCGGAACCTTAACCAGTGGGAGCTTTATTATAGGTTTATAACAGGATCGAGGTTGGATTTGAGGAGCTTGGTTTCGGATCTATTTGGTAGATTGGCTTTGAGAAGCTTATTATTGCCGGTCTAGATCGAGGATCCGTATATTCGGGATCTATTGGGTACATTGGAGTTTAAGAGATAGGTTTGGGATCCATTTGGGTGGAGGTATTGGATCTATTTGTGTAAGAGAGCATATATAGGATGGATTATAAATATATATACTATATAGCCAAATAATATATCAGCTCTCTCCCTCTCTCGATCTACATATGTATCTATATATATATATAGTTAATATAAATCCCAGAATACCGGGAGGATCCAAAAAGTAGATCCCTTATCTATCTAATTACAGTACCCTTTAGTTAGTACGTAGTTACTATATTCGTAGGGTCCCAAATTAGGGGATCTATTTTCTGGATCCTTCCATATATCTGTATATATATAGATCGAGAGAGAGAGAGAGAGA